GGAGGAGGAGGATCTTCTTGTAATGATTTTGAAGGTGGAGCTGTTAGAAATCTTATTCTGGGGAAGATAGAGGTGGAAGTTTTCGGGGAAATGGGGCTTTTGGTTCCCCAAATAAAGGTATTCCTTCCTGGTGGGGGTGGATGGGAGTCTGCACTGAGCTGCAGGAAGACAGCAGCCCTGGGGAAGTGTTCATGTAGATAATCCCTCCATCTCAGCTGCCCCCAGAGGTTTAGAAAGAGCAGTGGCTAGAGCTAGGAGAGGTGAGACCTGTGTGTGATGAAGGGGTAGATTGCTGTCCAGGACACTGGGGATGATGCGGTGGTGGGTCTTGTTCAGTTCTTGTTATTTCCTCTCTCTTTTTCTCTCTGTCTCTCTATCTCTCCCCTCCCCCTTTTTTCTCTCCCTTGCTTTGGCCACTGGTCCCTGATGCAGCCGTTCCATCATATGGGCCATACGGTAGGTGCAGCATGCTCTGTGTGTTTGTCTCAGTTGGTTTTAACTGGGATATGCTGTTCTGTCCTGGTTCCCAGCCTGCCTGCTACCTGCCCTGTCCCTTGCTCCCCTTCCTGTAGATCTGTAATCTGACTGCCTCACACAGCTGCTTTAGGGTTGTCTGGATGCACTGTAAAAGAGCCCTTGACAGTAGCGTAACACATGGTTAGAGCATTCGTGTTGGGCCTGTATGAAACATTTCTCCCTGAAAAACTGAGCAGGCTCTCAAAGGAGCTGGTTTGCTCCCTCTCAGCCCAGTCTCCCTTCTCTCATGAATGCTACAGCTAATCAGCATGCCTTGGTCGCTGAGAGAGCTCATCCTCAGAGCTGAGCAGAGCCAGAGGCCCATGCTGGAAGCGGAACTTAGAGGCTGGGGGAAATGGCAGCTCCTAGAAAAATGCCTAGCACTTGGTTGGGACTGGCTTCAACTGCTGCATCCTTTGCTGTGACACCCTCCAGCTGTGGTTCTGCCTCGTACTGCCCGTTCCCTTCCTTTATCTCCTGTGTTCTCCTCTCCCCTTTTATGATTTCTTTCCTGTGGGTGCTTTTATGCCACCCATTTCCAGTGAGTGGGAATGGCAAATACCATTTCTTTGACATTTTTAGAAGTTTCTTGAGCTTTTTTTTACTTCCAAAAGCCTTTACAGAAGCACCTCCTTACCTGGCTGTCTCTGTCACACCCCTGAGCCAGCCTAGGTCACACACGGGGAGGTTGTTGCTGTACGTCCCATTCTCATGGCCCCTATTTGCTGCTGAGATGGATTCGCTCAGACTTTGGGAGCACTCCTGATTAAACTTGGCACCATTTATTTGTGTGGCATTTCTTCAGCTGCTGCTTAAGGAATTCTGTAAAGTAATTTCTGCAGGACCTAGGAGCGCATGTTCCCTGTTCTTCCCTTCATGTTAAGGCATATGGGGGAAAGCAGTGGTACTCTTCACCTCTTCCTCCCCGTCACACCCCAACAGGTCGTTGTGCTCCCATGAAGAGCATCTCCAGCAGCCTCAAGGAGACCATGAACCCCCATGACATCGTCCAAGATGCGATCCACAACTTCTCCCCAGCCTACCAGCAGTACACCCAGCAGTCAACGCTGGAGCACGGCCCCCCCTGGCGCAATGGCAGTCACGTCATCTCACGCTCCCACAGCTGCTCGGGGGCCCGTGACAACGAGAAGACCCTCTTGCTGAGCTCTGATGATGAGTTCTAGGAGGGAAAACTGCCAGCACAAGCTATCGTTTTCCCTCCTTTGTTGCTTTTAATTTCTTTTTTTTAATTTATTGAAGCAGAAACAAGCAAGTCATATCACCTCTTAGTGCAGATTGCAGAAATGGGCATTTCCCATTAGCTTTTGTGGGTACAGACGCAACGAGTGGAATGGAATTAAGGGAATGGCCAAGACTTGCTTCTCAAGCCCGTTCCTCACAGCAGCAATTGACTGGAATTAACTGAAGCAAAGCTCCACTGTCTGGGGCTCTGCCTCCCACACCTGCTCAGCTTGATGTGGCGTGTGACTGGCCAGAGCCTGGAATCGTGGCCAGAAATGTTTTGTTTTCAACTGGACGACCTGACTGCTTTGAATTCCTCTTCCTGAATGATTGATGTAGGCACAGCTTGTACCCCCAGCTCCCCGGTACTAACGTCTCTGTGATCCTTGGGAAATGGGATTAGGATGCAGTGATAAGCATTCCTGAGGGCCAGACTGGAGATTGGACCCTCTGTAGCCATTGCAGTGAATATTTAGTATGGAACGTCTTCTCTCACACCTCTTAAGCGCTGCTTGTGAGGGCCTATATTTGAGTGAGTGTAGGGGAAGAGAGCAGGACTGTCGTCTTGTTCTGCCCTCTCTGTTCCTGTCAAAGCTGCCTGCTGGAGCTCAGCAGGGCTGGAATTATTATCTCACAAGGGCAGAGTTTTCTATCACCAGGTGATCTCCCCTGCATTCCTGGGGCAAGATGCTGCCTGGAACATCTGTCTCCTGCTAACCAGCATTGACTGGCCGTGACAGGTGGTAGAAGTCTGTACAGCTCTGGCTCTTTCATCACTCTTGGGGAAAGGAGCATTTGTGAACACTAAGATGTTCTTTCCTCTTGTTCCCTGCCCCCTACCAACAGTGCTGCCTCTCTCAGAGTTGTGGATTGTACCAGCAGCTGTCAGAGCAGGTCCCAGCCCAGGTGTCTTGCAGGTGGCCTCCCCTGCAAGCTGCAAAAGTTTTGCCCTTTGACTGGAGTATCTGGGAAGAACCTTTCCAGGTTGCCCCTTGTTGCTCTGCTAGAAGAAGCAGGGCCTGATTTACTGCCCAGAGTTCACCTTTCTTCCTGTATCCTGATTGCTGCACTTGTTCATTCTCTTCCTCACACAAGTGACGGTGAGCAAAGAGCTCCTTGTTTCCTCAGCACTGCTACCAGGTCAGGAGCAGCACGCCCTGCAACACCAGGAAGTTGGCTCCTGCTTTTCCTAACTGCTTCAGTAGGCACATAGATACTATCTACCAGGCTTTTTGTGGGCTTGGTATAAAACTCCTCATCCTGTAAGCCACTTGGAAAGCAGGACTGAAGTTTGAGCTTTCTCTCCATCTTCTGTGGCTTTGATTAATAGGTTTTTTAGCGTGGGATATTTATTTTAAATTTCCCCTCTCTTTTAGAGGACAAAATCCCTTCCTCCCTTCCATTGCATTTGCAGGCCTCAATGATGTCCCAGTGTCACTTAACCAATGCTCATCCCCAGCGTTTGTTGCATTGGATGGCCAAGATCTGAAATCTCAGAAATTGCCCTGTTGAGCCTGAAGATACTCCAGGCTTGGGGAAGCATTTTCTAAACATGATTTTAAAACGTATGCTGCATCTATATGCTGTGCATAGGATCTGGATATTCTCAAAGCTTCCTGTATGTAGAGGTTTAAAGTATAACTCTGTTGCACTAGCTGCCTTTGGAGAAGCCTGGAGAAGAGCTAGCGCCCAGCTAACAGCCAGCTGCCATGCATTATAATTTTATATATATATTTTTATAACACTAAGCAAAACTATCTCTGAGCTTCCTGCACTCCCCTGCAATAGGCCAGCACCAGGACAAGGATCGGCTCTGAAGCCACTCTGGTTTGGAGGAGCAAATCCCTAACCTGAAGACCCAGAGCTTGAGACCGATTGCATCTCTTGCTCTCTCAAGCAGTTCTGCTGGTGGTAGCCTGAGGCCAGGAGTAGGTCCTCAGAGCTGCTCACTCCCTTTCCCTCCTCGCCCTTCCTTTTTGTCTACCATGTAACATACCCATGGGATTTGTTTATTATTTTTTCCATGTAGAGTAGTTCTTTGTATATAAACAACTGAAAAGAAAAAAAAAAAAGTATGATAAATAAGACAGAGCCACCTAGTTTTGTACCTATTGTGTTTAACTGATGTGAGCTCAGCGACAAGCCGCTCTCTCTATTTTGGTCTTTGTGAAGTTATACTCTGCAGAAATGAGCAAATATGACGACAAATAAAAATATAGAGATAATATAGATTGTACTTCAGCTGCCTCCGTGTCACTTCTCTGAACCAATTTTGGGTTTGTGATGCTTCCAATGCAGCACCATGCTTTCAGAGAGAAATTTTCCCCAGTACTCAACCTGAATCTCTCCTGGCACAACTTAAGGCCATCACCTCTTCTCCTTTTGCTGTTGCCTGGGAGAAGAGGCCAACCCCACCTAACTACTACCTCCTTTCAGGTCATTGTAGACAGCATTACGGTCTCCCAAGACAGCTCTAGAAGTTCAAGAAAGACCAAACGCACTCTCTGTGGAAAAAAAACCAAAAGAACTCCCTTTATTTGTAAAGTCTACAAAATACAGAGGACTCAGGTAGGACACGTACTGTAAGTCAGAAAATAAATAGTATTTTTTTTTTTTTTTTTGCTCTATATAAGATAAAATGTGATTTGCATATATAAAATATAAAGTACGGCTCTGTACCAACATCCTGGCTGTGCCGAGAGGCGGAATGGCAAAGAGGACGTGAAAATAACTTAGGTTCGTGCAATAAATAAACCCAGGGGGAGTGGGATAGAGGGGATGCTAACAGTGCCCTCGGGGCGGGCACCTCTCTGGGTTGGGACGGAGGCTGCAGCCGAGGGCGGCTGGCGTGGCGATGCCCAGACCTCTGTGCTGATGTCCAAGCTGGAGGAAAACCCAAGGGAGAAGCTGCCTGCCAGGCATCTCCCAGGAGTTGGATGCTCTGCCCTCCAAACCCCTCTGTTTCCTCACTTTGTGCAGCCTAAGCCCTGGAGCAAGTGGAGCGCGGGGCCTTGGCGGGGCCATCCAAGCGGGGCTGTGTGCAGCAAAACAGCAGTTATCTGCACTCCAGCTGCCTCCACTTCCTTCCTGCCACTGCCTCTGTGTTCCAGGCGCCCAGTTAGGCTGAGTGTCTCACTCAGGTCACGAAGAGGCGTGAAGGATGTGCGTGATGGGGAGAAAACAGCCCCTCCACGTCTCCGTTTTGTCTCGCAGCCCCCAGATGTCTCCTGCCCAGATGTCTCCTGCCCCAGATGGCTCCTACCCTCCATTGCTGTCACAGTGCTATGCCATCCCACTCACCCCGACCTGCAGCCACTTTCTGTTCCCCTCCAACCTGCACGTTCTCTTGCCATCTCCACCTTTTCTCCCTGGGCCCAATGCTGACCCCATTCATCCTCATCTTTCTGCAAAACCCTCTCCCCCTTTCCCTCTCTGGCACATGCTCCTGAGAGCGCCTGCCCTGCACTCAGCTCTCCCAAAAAATGGGGTGCACTGTGTTTTCCTGCCAGCTTGGAGCTGTGGGGGTGTTTCCCTGCCTCCATCCATTCACATGGACTCATCCCCTCCTGCACGCACCCACTGATGCAGCAAGGGATGGGACCACAGGGCAGTGCCGGGCTTTGGGCTTCCCCCAAGGGATCTCCAATAAGGTGCTGTCCCACCCGGCACACACATGGTGGCAGTCCTGCCTACAAGCGGAGGTCTGGGGACCAGAGGGAAGGATTTGGGGTGCAGCTCCCAGCAAAGGAGAGCCTCAAGTATGTAGGGGAAGACGCCCTGGGGGGGACAGTGCCCAGCCGAGGGACGGGGCCAGCACTAGGAGTAGGCAGCCTGGTTGGCACCGGACTTGACGATGGTGATGACGCTGGCAGTGGCCACTTTGGCAGGTGGCCCATGGGCAGCCACAGTGCGGGCAAAGCCCTGCAGGGCCTCATACTTGCCACGGAGAGTGTCAAGCTCCAGGCGCATGGCAGCATTCTCCCGGGCAAGCTTGTCCACCTCCCATTCCAGCTCCATCTTCTGCTTCTGCAGCTCTTCCTTCTGGCAGACACGCTTCACCCTGCAGCTGGCAGCGTAGCCCCTGTTCTTCAGCGTCCGTCGTCGCTGCTTCAGCCTGGCCACCTCCTCCTTGGAAAGGCCTCGCAGGTGGTGGTTGAGCTCCCGCACCGACAGCCCCATCAACTCTTCATCAGACAGCAGCGGTGTGTTCTCTCCGAGCTCTCGCTTCACCTGTCGGGTGGAGGAGCAGGTGAGATCCCAATGCCAATCCTCAGCACAAGACCACCAAGCGCCAAACACCAGTGTTAGACCCTTCCCAAATGCCAACCCCTTTTTCCACTCCCCAGCACCAATCCCCAGTGATGGATCTCTCCAGTGATGGACCCCCCCCAACCCCAATGCCATTCCTGGACCCCAAGGCCAATCCCTCATGCTGCAGCCCCAGTGCCAATTCCTCATGCTGGGGCTCCCTGAGGCTGGACCTCCCCAGTGTGATTTCCCCATGCTGCAGTTCCTACTGCCAGCTCCCCATGCTGGACCTCCTCAATGCTTATCCCTCATGCTGGACTTCTCCCAGTGCCAATGCCTAGCACCAGACTTCCTGATCCTGATTTATCAACTCTTTGAAAGGGTAGATAACAGCAGGACAAGGGGAAATGGTTTTAAGTTGAGGGGGCAAGATTTAGGCTGGATGTCAGGGGAAGTTCTTTACTATGAGAGTGGTGAGGTGCTGGAAAAGGCTGCCCAGAGAAGTTGCAGATGCCCTGTCCCTGGAGTTGTTCAAGGCCAGGTTGGATGGGGCCCTGGGCAGCCTGGTCTAGTATGAAATGGGGAGGTTGGTGGCTCTGCATGTGGCAGGGGGTTGGAGATTCATGATCCTTGAGGTCCCTTCCAACCCTGGCCATTCTGTGATTCTGTGACCCTGGACCTCCTGATGCAAGAACCTGTTGCTAGCCCCCCACATTCCTCATTTTCCCCAGTGCTCACCTTTAGTGCCTTGGTGGACAGCCCATCTGCAGCCATGGTCGCCCCGTACCGGCCCTATAAAACACCCAAGGGAAGAGCGAATGAGTGCCAGCACGGGGATACGGAGAGTGATACGGGGACACGGAGAGTGATGCCGATCCCCGCCTAGCTCCACCTCACTCTTTTATACGAAGCTCATAATAATGGCACACAACCACAACAACGAGGGAAGGCCCTCCCCGAGGGCGCAGGGGAGCTCCCTCGGAGGAGGGCAGCGCGGGGGAAGCCTGGCCGAGGCCCGCGGTGGGGTCGAAGGGTGAGGGCCGCGGCCACGTCGCGGGGACGGGCGATCGGGCGCCGTCTCACCGTGATTCAGCAGCGCTGGGGGGGATGGGGGGGGGGTGGGGTAAGAGTCACTCCTTCTGCACCCCTCGACCGCCACTTTTCTTCTTTCTCGGGGCAGAGATGACGGCGGGGGGAGGGGGGGGGGGGATGATTTTTCTCCCCTCCGCCATTACGGGAGGAGAGGGCCCGGTGCCCGAAGCGGCCCCAATTCCAGACCACCCTTCTCCACCCCCCCCTCTCGCCAAAGTGCCGTTGGGGGCGAAGCACGGGAGGAGCTGAGCTGATGCAATCAGGGCCGGGGGTGAGACGCGATCCCCGAGCTCCCACCGCCCGCCCTACTCCGGAAACTCCCGATCCCCCTCCCCGACCCCGCTGGAGGCTTACCGGAGGCCGCGTTGTGTCGCGGCGCTGTGCTGCGCTACGCAGGAGGGGTGCGGCGGGGCGGGCGGGCGGGCTCGCTGCGCTCCGACCCGAGCTCCGCGCGATTACTCACCCGCGGATTCCTTTCATTCATAAAAACACAGTCATGCGGTGACGTCACCTTTCCTTCGCCCCGCCCCCGGGGGCCCGGCCCCGCCCCGCCCTCTCCGCCCTTTTCAAAGATGGCGGCGCGCGGCTCCTCCCTTCAGCTCTCCACCGCCCTTCTCTGGGATGGAGGCCCGTTGGTCCCTCCCCATTGGCCCTTCCCCGAGAGCGGCGCAGCTGATTGGTCCGCTCTGGGGCAGTAAGGGCGGCGGGGCCTGCGGGCCTTGGCTCACCTTAGGCCCCGCGGGCGCTGCGGGGAAACGGCCGTTTTTCCCGTAAAGGGGAAGGCGGTACAGGAACCGAGAGTTGCCGGCTCCGGGCTCTCAGTCCTCGGTTATCTCTCGCAAGGTCGAGCTGGGGAGCTGCGTGCCATGCAGTTCCTCGGGCGGCTCTTCAGCCAGGCGTTCAGCAATCCGTACCGCGTGAAGGAGGTGCCCGCCGCCGACTATTCGGGGCAGAGCAGCCTGCGGGAGGACGGCCGGGTGCGGCTCTACAGCAACGGCCGCTGCTGGGACGGAGTGCTGGTCAACCCCCAGAGCCCGGGGGTGGCCTTTCGGTAGGTGCTGGGCCCTCAGGTGTCTGCTTAGAGCCTGGAGGGAGGCTTGATAGAGCACGGTGGTACAGGCTGCCCAGGGAGGTGATGTGGTCACCATCCCTGGAGGTGTTCCAGAGCCGTGTGGATGTGGCACTGAGGGATGTGGTCAGTGGGCACGGTGGGGATGGGCTGGAGGTTGGGCTGGATCATCTTAGAGGTCTTTGTACCCTTAATGATTCTGTGCTTACTTCTCCCTTTCGCCTCTCCTCCAGGCTCTTCCACCTCGATGATGAAGCAGAAGCCCTGGTGTGCTTTGAGCGCTATGCTGGCCACCTGCGGCCGTTCTATGAGAGCTCAGCCCAGCCCCTGTCGCTGGAAGTTCTGCAGCAGCTCAGTGACTGCATCCGCAACCACCCCAGCTGGTCCTCGGCACATGTAGCAGTGGAGGTTGGCATGCATGAGACCTTCCGACACAACCGTGTACTCAGGTGAGAATGCGGAGCAGTCTCCTGTGGGCCTGGTGTTGTTTGGGCTGTGCTGAGGTGTCTTTGATCCTGCTGCTCTGGATCATAGACTCACAGAATGGCCTGGATTGAAAATGACCTTTAAGATCATCTAGTTTCAACACCCCTACCTTGGGTAGGGCTGCTGCCCACCAGCTCAGGCTGCCCAGAGTTTCACCTGACCTGGCCTTGAGTACCACCAGGATGGAGCACCCGCAACTTCTCTGGGCAGCCTGTGCCAGAGCCTCGCCATTCTCTGAGTAGAGAATTTCTTCCTATCATCCAATCTAGATTTCCTCTCTTTTAGTTTAAAGTCATTCCCCTTTGTCCTATTGCTATCAGACCATGTAAAATGTCAGTTCTCCTCCCGTTTGTAAACTCCCTTAAAGTTCTGGAAGGCCGTAATGAGGTCTCCCCAGTGCCATCTATTCTCCAGTCTAAACAAGCCTGAGAGAGACTGAACTATTTTGCTGAAGACTGGCAACCCTTGTGGACCTGTTTTTCAGAGAGAGGGTGTTGCTCACTGTAAAGTGCAAGAGAGGAAAAGGGTTTTGATCACAAACTCTCATTCTCTTTCTGTAGGAACATTCCCATAGGGTAGAGGAAACCAGCAAGGAGCTGGTGCATCAAGAGATCGATCACAACATCTCTGCCTGGTTGCTGACCGCTGTCTGTATTCTCTGTTCTTGTGGGCAGACAGAGCTGCCTTTTGGGCATGCACAGAGGAAGGGGCTGTGTGTCAGGAGGAGGGTCCATGGTAGGGCTGGGTCTTTGCAGAGGTAGGTCCTTGTCTTTGCAGCCTCTCTATGCTGTAACATTTCTTCTTCTCTTACAGCTGTGTGAACAGCACAGACAGTGAGGATGGCTGCACTCCACTGCACCTGGCGTGCCGCAAGGGAGACATGGCCTGCCTGCAGGAGCTGCTGGACTGCCGTGCACGAGTGGATATTACAGACAGGAAAGGAGAGACAGTTTTCCACTATGCTGTGCGAGGAAGCAACCCCTATATTATTGAGGTGGGAGCTGTCTCAAAGCTGGGAGAAGGGGGTTGGAACTTTTCCTTTCTATCTTGTGAGAGAAAGAGGATGATAGACAGGGGCCGCAGTCTGGGGTAGTGAATGGCAGCTAGCTCTGCTGCAGCATCCATGGGAATGCCTGAACCTGGTTTCAGCCCCTTTCTTCCTCCCTACTTACTGGTGCAGTTTCCATAAGCAGGTTCCATGTTCCACCCTGCAGTGGAACAGGGTTGTAAAGCAGTGGTTTCCTCAGAAAGTATCCTTTGGCATTTGCTTCAAGCCTTAATCCTAACTTTCCTCAGACCTTTGGCTGTCCCTTCAACATCTCCTCTCAACAGGGCTTTTAGATCTGGGTAGAGCGCTTCCAAAAAGGGCCTTCAGGCTACCAAGGGTGTGTATGTTCCCTGCAAACTCAGGCTCTAGTTTGGAGCTGCCCTGGGCTTTCCCGAGCCTGCAGAACCTGTTGGAACTGAGCAGTTCTGGTGACACAATCAGAGCCTCGAGGCAGAGTGACTGGGTTTGCAAGGCTGTGGGTTCCTTTCCGCTTTGCTCCTCAGGTCTGGACCCGGTGCCAGACAGGCCCTCGCCTGCAGCTGCACCAGCTGTGTTTGCCCAATGCCTCTTGTGACAGCTCTCCTGTTGCCTGCCAGACAACGGAGAGATTTCCTAATGTGTGGTGGCAGAGGGATGATGAACAATCAGGGTTTGCCACACTGTGGGGCAGGACAGTTAGGGCCTTTGTATTATAAAGATGTTTTCCTCCTGTATGTCTCTAATGGTGGCAGCTCAGCTCGTTAAAGATATACTTTCAGTTTTGAACTATCTTGAGCTTGTTTCTCTTTCAATTCCTGGCTAAACCAAGAAAAATAAACTCCTGTTTTTCTTGTGTACACTGGGACTTTCAGTGTTCCCACTGTATGGCAGTGGGTTAGTTTCTTGTAACAAACTGGTGTTGTGGCCTAACCTGTATAAGCAGCAAAGCATCACATAGCCACTCACTCGCACCCCACTCCTCCCCAACTGGATGGATGGGGAGTCAGAAGGGTGAACGTTAGAAAACTTGTGGGTTGAGAAAAATGCAGTTTAATGAGAAAGGACAAATAAAATGGGGGAGCAAGGGAGGAGACAAGCAATGCAAAACACAATTGCTTACAGCCAGCCACTCTCTGAGCAACAGAAGCTTTCCAAGCCTGCTCCCTGAGTTCCTTTGCTGGGCACAGCTTTGTATGGCATGGAATGGTTAGTTGGGGTCAGCTGTACTGACTGTGTCCCCTCCCAGTACCTTGTGCAACCCCAGCCTTGCTTACAGGCAGCTTGAGAAACAGAAAAAAATCTTGTTTCTGTGTGAGCGCTGCTTGGCAACAACTAAAACATTGTTGTATTACTTTACATTACTTTATCAGCATTATTTTCATCACAAATCTGAAACATAGCACTGCGTAAGCTGCTGTGGAAAAAAAAAATTAAGTATGAAAACCAGGGCAACCAGTTAGCATGCAGCAGATCTGAAATTTACAGGTAGAAGAGAAGAATTCATTCGAACATCTCCCCACATGTATCTTAAACAGTCACATTTGTAGCTGAAGCAATGGTGGAACTGCAGGGAAGGGTGAGCTCCTGCCTGCTGGCTGGATGTGGTAGCTGATACGAAGAAGCTGCTGGTTCCAGTGAGTGCTGTCTTCTATTCATTTATTTCTTGCTCTTCTCAGCTCCTGAGCAGTGCCCCGACTGTTGGCGTGAACCACCTGAGCCACGAAGGGCTGACCCCTCTGTATCTGGCTTGTCAGCTGGGCAAAGAGGACATGGTTCGGTCCCTGCTGAAGTGCCGTGCCAGCTGCAATGTCATGGGCACAGTGGGCTACCCCATCCATGCAGCTCTGAAGTACTCCCAGAAGGGGTAAGTAAAACTGTGTGAGTCAGTGCAGGCATGCGGCAGGAGCAACCACGGGCCATTACCTCGCTGACTGTGGGATCCTTTGGGCAGCAAGCAAGCAGACACACACAAGCACCACTACAGGCCCCGCTAGGCTTGCTCTACGCTGGAGGGTCACAGATTTGTTTATCAGGGGTTTGCACTGACATAATTTACTACTGTACTTTGATTCTCACTGTGCCCTCATCTACTCTGCACAAGGCGGGAGCCCCAGTACTCAGTAGGGTGCTTCCAATTCCACCTAATATCCATGCTGTCTACCTACAGGTGTCAGACACTCAGAGGACAAGCAGCAGTGGGCATGCTGGGTATGCTAGATGTGTTTCCCTACCCTGCTACTCTTCATGCTTTGCATTTTTCTATCTGCAGGGTCACTTGAGCATATTTACAATCCTCCTTGGCAATCTGTCCTCATTCAGACTTCTGTTCTTAACTTATTCCTCTCTCATAAGTGCCTGCTGCTGAGGCTAGCAGTGTGGGACAGTGTGATATACAGAGGCAGGTAACAAAACATACAGGAAAATAAACATAAAAACATACAGTGTTCTGAGTTAGGGGTCCTGCTCCTCCTGTCATGGAGTTAAGCCACACAGCAATCAGCCAGTAGATTGTTTCATTCAATGCATTAAGTCCTGAGGACACTGAACGTGCTTCACAGTAGTTAATTCATTGGTTGTGTTGAGGCACCGTGTACTTTCAAACTCAGAACAGTGTTTCTGGTGTTGAAGGAGGATCCTTAGCATACAGCAGTTACTACCAAATTGAAGGCAACAGTTACCTTTGTTCAGTGTAAACCTTGTGCAAGGACAGGCGTCAAGCGCTCTGTGTTTGCTACTGAGAAAGAATAACAGTGAGGAGTTGTTTCCAGCAGAGGCCAACCAAACCCAAGTGTTTACACACTGGTCTCGCAGAGATTGTCTGTGCTTGTAGAGCAAGACTCCAAAGCAACCCGTGATAAGGAAGGA